TGCTCTTGAGGAAAACGTTTGATTGTAGGGGGCTGCTCTTGAGGAAAGCAATTTTTGAGTCTCCAGAGATATTGTATCAATATTCACAAGATCACAGATGGTTTTTGGTCGTTAAAAAAAAAGGAAAATCTAGAAACTGACGCCTGCTGGAGATTCCACTTCCTTTCAAGACGGGCAAAGTTAGAGGGAACCTTTCCTTGTAGCCTTAACGGCCGTCATCCGAGACCCGCCCTTGCAGGGTCCTCCACAGGCATTGCACACAGGATCCTCTAGGGGGCTCCCACGAGAATCCGATGGAAGAGCCGGGCAACTGTCCCGCCCCCCGCGTTGCAAGAGAACTGAGCATGCGCCAGCCTCCCCCCACCCCCACCCCCAAGTTAAGAGAGATGTGTGGTTCACCGGGCATTTTCCAGCCAAGGCTTGAAAGCTTCTCCTCTCTTTCTACGGTGTCCGATTCTGCTCCTTTTCCCCCTCACCCGCTTTGACCTGTAAGTCTTTCTAGCAAAGGAAGAGGCTGCAGGGAAGTTTGCATGGTTCGAGATCCAGACGTGAGTCGGGGTTCAGGGATGGGGCTTTTCCTCCCGCGCCGGAGGATCACATGGGACCTTCCATCAGACTTGGAAGTCGTGGGATGGGTGCGTGTGACAGTGGTCCCATGTTCCCCTGCCGCCCCTGTGCATGCACGGGCCAGGCGGGGGAGAAAGCAGAGCTTCGGATCCTCCGCATTTGCCCTGGAGAGAAACAATCGGGGTCGCGGGAAGGAGGGAGCCATTTACCCTCCATTTGGATGGGGAAAACCTCTGCATGGAAGGCCGAGGAGGAGAGGTCGTCTTGGCATAACAGAGATTTGTGCCTCCAAGTCAGTCTTGACTTCTGCACAGTTTCCTGCATATTTATTGGCCCCGTTTTTAAAAGGGGTTCCCCTCGCCTCCCCTTTCTTAGGCCCAGAGAAGCGAGCGGACAAAAGGCTGCAACTGCGTGTGCAAGGTGTGCAAGGACTGGAATTAGGTTTCCTGCTTTCCCGCCTTTCCCCACCATTACCAGCTGGCTGTGCCAGCAGATAAATAAGGAAGGTGTTAGAGGAGGCGCATCATTCACACCCATGTCCCATGGATTTAGGGAGCCCCTCATGTCAGTTTGCTGTTTTGTGACTTGGGACGTTTTACGATTTGGATTGTGCAAATGGTTGCTCTTAATGATGCAGCTATAAAAGTGATATTAAACTGTGTATTAAATACTTCACAGGGCTGTTGTGGGGGAAATAGAAGGAGCATTATGTATAATTGCTGTTTAGAGTAATAATACAGAAGACAAAAATAAAAATTAAATTTTAATTAAAAACTAGGCAGTAGAAATCAAAAACATACTTAAATGTATTTTGCCAATATTTTGATAGAGATTGACATCTTGAAGCAGGGTTGTCAAACACGTGTCCTCACGTGACGTTCGGGACTTTTTTCCTCTTTGCTAAACCAGGCAAGGCGTGATGCCCCTGGGCCACTAGTTTGACAGTCCAGTCCTGAAGGATTCTGTGCAATTTTTCCCACGTGTAGAGAGATCAAGCTAATTAATAAGATTTCCCCCACTCCTTACAGACGGTGGTAGGTTAATCCAACTGTTTTTTAATTTTCCTTTTCCCTCCCCTTCTCTTCTCTTGATAAGGATGCTCAGTAGTTCAATTAATCACCCTAATAAACACCATGAATTATTTATTTTTCATTTCAGGTGTGTAAGTTGGAAATATTTTCCGGTTCTTCTGGATTCTTAAATATCTTGTCTGGGAAGAGAGCTGAATGGCCTTTGAAAATTTGGCCAGATCTCTTGTGAACAGAAAGACCTGTGGAGATCCAAGGGTCCATTTTGGAGCTGTATTAGAGACCAGAGAGAAGATGGAGGGACAACCCCCAGTAGATGCCGAAATTAGAAAAGGCCCTCCAGCTGCTCAGTCTTGGAGCTGTGGGAGGAATGGGGCAATGAATCCTGGGCAGAAGAGCCACGAAGAGACATCCAATAGTTCAGAGGTCCAATGCTGCCACTTCAGAAAAGTGCAGTTCCAGGAGGGAAGCCGTCCCCGAGATGTTTGCACTCAGCTTCACTACCTTTGTCGTCAGTGGCTGCAACCAGAAAAACACACCAAGGCTCAGATGCTGGACCTGGTGCTCCTGGAACAATTGCTGGCTGTGCTTCCCCCAGAGATGGCAAATTGGGTGCGGGAGTGTGGAGCGGAGACCAGTTCCCAGGCGGTGTCCCTGGCTGAAGGCTTCTTGCTGACTCAGGAGGAGGAAAACATGCAAGAAGAGTTGCAGGTGGGAGCTCTAAAGAGGATCTCTCCAGATTTGTCAATTCCTGTCTAGCAGAATTTTCTGAGATTATTAACTCCTAAGAGAATTTGTTCTATTCTTCCGGAGGATGTATTTGGGGCAATTCTTCCATTCTGTTTCGACTTTCAGCAATGGAAATTGAGGGCTGCTAGTTTGAAGATGCAGTATGATAATTCGTTTCTGTCTC